GGGGGGTACGGCGGGGACAGCGCGTTTTCCCTGTCCGGCATGGGAGAGGCCTCGGGGACAAGACCAGGGAGGGGGGAAGCTGGGGCAGGGGGCCAGGACGTGCCACATCCAGGACGTACGGGCTGGTGGGGGCTGGCACTGGGGCGTCCCGCAGCAGCCCACGAGGAGCTGTACCCCCCAGGGTGATGCTGGCAGACCCCGAGCCCCTGATGCGTCCCCAGGTCCGGGCAGGAGGATCTCCTAATCATACCACGGCACAGTCCAGTACTGGTCCAGCCTCACCCACCGGGTCGGAACACCGTCTGTCCTGGCCCCAGGCTCAGTCTGCTCTGACTTTGCTCTTATTCTCTCCTGGCTACCGCAAGATCAAGACTAAAAGCTGGGCAGGGGGGGGTGAGGGGGGTGGTAGGCAGATGCTGCTTGCGCTGGTTTGCCATTCAAGGGCAAAGGAAGAACCGTGACGGAGGCTTCATTAAAGCAGAAGAACAGGGAAATCGCCTCCCCGACAAAGCCTCGGTTTGCACGGCGGAGATAACAAGCCCAGGCTCAGACATCCCAGAGCAGAGGTCCCTCACGGAAGGCAACATCAGGAGCAGCTGTCAGCGCCCTGAGCCTTGCACCATTTTATCCCCACAGCTTCTGCACATCTAATTAAGGGCTCAAGTCTAATTATAGCCCTCACTGGTTGCTAGGGTGTGAGGGGGGGTGTGTGTGAGTAGGAGCAGGGAAGGAGGCGGTGAGGGGATGCTGTTCAGGGGAGACTGGGTGGCTGGGGAGGGGGGTAAAGAAGAGCCTCAGGAGCTGCAGGAGTGAGGAAAGCCAGCTCTAAATTAGGTTACTGCATCTCTTCTTTCAAGCAGGTTAGCTGGCAAAGAGGTGGTTCCTCCCCGCTGAGGCAGATGTGAGTGCCAGGCAATTACATCATGGCCTCAGCCCCTGCTTGCAGCAAAAAAATAAAAAAAGTTTCTAGCAATTGTGGCTGCAGGGTGAGGGGAAAAAGAGCTCGAACATGACCTGAGTGGAGCTGAGGGCACCAACACACGAAAGGGCTGGCCTGTGGCAAAGCGAGCTGTTTTGGGAGGAGGCAGCAGCGAAGGCGTGATGTGATCGCCGGGAGCGGGTCAGCCTTTGCACCCGGAGCAGCGAATTTACCCCTGGATGGATCAGGTCTGACTTTACGAGGTTTCCAAACGCCTGCCTGACAGCGGCTCTGCCTGCTTGTCCCTGCAGGGCCGGGAGCTGCTCCCGGGTTACGCCTCGAGCGTCGCCTCTCCCTGGATATGCCCACAGCGGAGGCAGCAGAGCCTGCCCCAGCCTGCCGGGAGGCAGCTGCTCTGTTTGCAGAAGGGATGTGCCCTGTTCTGCTCATGGAGGCGTTAACCCTAAACCTCCCCGGCTCCCTGGGACCTTCCAAACTCTGCCCCAGGAGAAGGCAGCGGGTCCAGCGGGAGGGGGGTGGCTCAGCGAGCCCCAGATGCCCCCCGGAGCAGAGCGAGCTGCCCCTTTGGCTTCAGTCTGCAGCCCTGGGGAGGGTCAAACACCACTGTCGCTTTGGGGCAGGAGGAGATCCCACAATTCCCCACTCCACCTTAACCACGGATGTGTCATTCCTTTCCGTTTGGTGCAAATACGTTTCCCTCCTCTAAGGCTTTCCTTATGCAAGTATAAATCTCTCTTCAGAGCAGATTTAATGACAAGGTGTTATTAATCCTGTTGGATAGATGGGGGAAGCAACACAGACAAAGGGGCAGTAACTTTCCACTCATCAACACACCCAGAGAAAGGCCGGGGGGGCTGGAGCGGAGATGCCTGGTGGCAGCGCTGACCCCAGATACTCCTGACCAGCCCCAGCACGGCGGCGGGGGCCCGGGGGCTCCTTACCTTCATTCCTGCGGTTGTTGAGCTGGTTGAACTGCTCCGTGAACTCCGTCAGCGACTCCTCGATGGTCTCTGTCCGAGGAACCGAGAGTGAAAACCTCCGCTTGAAGTTTTTCATCTTGTTCATTTTACCTTCTGCTGTGAGGGATGGCAGAGCCCTGTGGGAAAGAGAGAGGCTGAGAGAGCTGGGTGATGCAGGGGACGGCCCCCTCCAGCCCCCCCCAGCTCTTTGGGGCTGCAGCACCCTGACCTGAGTTTCCCCAGCAGGGTTCCTGGGGACATCCTCCTCCCCGAGGCACCGCTGCTGTCAGAGCAAAAGAGGAGCCCGTGGTCACCAGGGGAACCCGGTTCCCCGAGTCTTTAAGAGCTGACTGTGGCCAAGAGGTGCAGGGGGCATTTTCTGAGCGAGTTATCAGAGATGAGCCCAGGGCAGGGCTCTGCACACTCAGTCACCAGTACCAAGACAGGTTGTACCTTGCAGCATCCTTGGAAACTCCAGGAACAGGGAAAAGCAGGGGAGAAAGAGAAGAAAATGAAGAAAGTAAACAGTGATGGAAAAGATTCAATAGCACCTTCCTCCCTGGATGAGGAGGAACCTTCTCTCCTGGCAATCTGGTCTCTGCTTTGCCCTCACAAGAAAGACTACCTGAGCCCGCAGCAAAATGCTGAGTGGGGCCAGTAGCAGCCGGGGGGATCCCTGAGAACCACAGCAAGGGGTGATGCTCTTGAAGCATCCTGTACAGGCATTAGAATCGCCTTAGCCGGGAATCTGATTAAAGCAGTAAAACCCTTAAAGGAAGGAAACCCTCAAGGGGCACACGGCGAAGCGTGCTGAGTCTGAGCAGCCACACGGGCGGGCTGAGGGAGCTCGCTCTGGGTGTCTCGGAGCCACACGCCGCTTTGCCTGGCCTACTTTGGCTCTCGCAGCTCAGCAGCGCACATGGGACCAGGGTGCAAGAGCTGTCTGGGCACGGCTTGGCCTTTAGCACCAGCCTCGCTGCACTCGGGTGTAATTCTTCCTGCCGAGCACAGACCTAGCAAACAGCCGATGCCCCCTGGGTGTGCAGGCACCGGCAGCTCACCCAGAACCAGCCAGAGCTCTGCCCATCCCAGTCCTGAGCCCACGGAGGTTTGGGTCTGTCCCTCTCCCCTTCCCAATCTGATGAGCGTAGGGCTGCTCCTCCACCAGCCTTTGTCGTCTCAGCCCTCTAACCTGTCTGGAGGGGGATTTTCCATTAACAACACGGGGCTGCTTTAACGCTACTCTCATCCGCCAGCCCAAGGAGGGATGTGAAGGGGAAAATCATCCCTTGGTACCAAACAGGCATCCAGAGCTCCACAGAGCAGCTCATTCCCTCACCGACACAGCGACGCGACTTCTCCTGCACCCCTGGAGCAGGTCGGCCCCCCTAGCCCTGGGTGTCCCTGCCGCAGCCTTCCTCCCTGGCTCTCCCCACTCCCTCCCAGCCCCCTCCGGGGCTTATCAGCACAAACAAACGGTGATCACATTCCAGACTGATGCGAACAGACACAGCATCCGGGAGCTAATGCATCGCGTCGCCAGGGCAACGGGAACACTTGGGTTGACATGCCTGCATCTGAAAGCTTAAAAGATTATCCGTCAGCAATATAAACACTTCGTTTGGGTGTCTGCCAGGCTCTGCTGTGAGGCATGGCACCCTGCTGTGGGTGCAGTCCCCTGAAAATCCCTGGGATTCACCTGAATGCTGGGGACTCGCACCCCTCAGCCATCCCCACTCAAGCTCCCACCTTCCATGCTGCAAAACCCTGAAGCCGAGGGCTTGGCCAGCGATGCTAGTGCTCCTGGAATCGGGGCTGGGGTATCCGGCTGGGGGTGGGAGGGGAGGCTGGAGGCTGCTTTGAGTTGCAAAGCGAGGCAGGGGGATGCTAGACACATCCACTTCAGGCTTCAGACATTTGAATGTTTTCTCAGCACTACAGAAACATGCTTTGACAACAAAGATGCTGGCACCAGTGAATGCTGCATTAACAAAGTCTCCATGCTGGTGCTTCCTTCATAGCCAAGAATAAAGTCTCCAAGCAGTGCTGTTCCTTCTGAAGGGAAGGCAAAGCTCAGTACTTACTTTGGAGACCATTTTCCCAGCCCATGGCTCTGACCTGGCTCCTTACCTTGCAAGCTCAGCAAGTTTGAACCGAGGCACTGCTGGCGTGTGGAAATGCCGCCAGCGTTGCAGGTACCCGAGGAGCTGAACCGCCCCGCAGTGCTTTGCTCCAGCTGTGCGTGCTGACACTGCTGAAGGGGCACTAGGAAAAGCTACAGAGGCTCCTGTGCTTGGCACTGGTTTACTCCCAAACAGGAGCTCAGGGGAAATCCGTGATGCTCCCAGCAGGTACAGCAGAGGCTCAACAAAAGACTCTTTCCTCATCAATGTTCAGATAAGCCCCAGTGATTATTCTTTCAAAGGAGGGCATAAGCAGGTTTCCACGAATCTCTGGTGAAGGTTACACTGCTGAACAGCCCTCCGGCAGCATCCTGAGCCACCCCTGCACAGGTCCGTAACACAGCGAGTGCAAGGACACGCTCGCAGCACCAAGCGCTGCAATTACCTGACTCCAAACCCACCTGAAGGTACCAGGTTGCCTTCACCAGAAACTGTCAGGGAAGAAAGAAAAAGCGGCATGAGATTGCCCCTTGCCAGTCCCCCAGGGTGCTCAAATCCCACCTTGGAGAGGAAGACTTGTTTCAAGGGAGATTTAGCAGCGCTGTGCACCCCTGACAGTGGAAAAGAAGCGTATCCACATGGTGGATAACACACTTGCAGGATCAAGGAGAACAGATCCCAACTCTGGGCATGATCCCCTTTCCTTCCCTTTCAGAAAGGGCACCCCACGTGGGACTGGGAGGGACTGGGATGGAGGGCTGGGGGCTGCTGCAGAGCTGCTCAACCCACCACCCCACCTGCCATGACCAAAGGACAGTCACCCTGCTACGCTGGGGACAAAGTGCCACCCTGGCAAGGAGTGGCACGGGATGGTCAGGACAGCAGGTCCCCAAGGTCACGGGAAGGTGCTGAGCGTGAGCTGCTGAGCAATTCCTGCTCTGACAATCCCCCAGCAAGCCAATCCATCACCTCCAGAAGGGCCCCTCACTCCAGGACCAGGAACATAAAAGATGCTTCACCCTCAGGTGAATGAGGAAGCGGATGAGGGGAAGGGGTCTCTCCTTCCGCCTCTCTCCCTGTCCACTCACCCTCCTCAAAACCGTGCAAACGGTTTAGCAGACAAACAGCTTCGCACCGACAGAAAAAATCTGTGCTCTGCAAATCGCAGTCCAAATCCATCCCCTCCTTGCCACCAACTGGAGTGCCAGCAGCTCCGGGCTGCTAAATATAAACCTCCTCGGAGAGGAAGTGGGGTGGGGGTAAAAATAGCACCGACATCGCTAGCTACCTCTCCTGCTATGCACAAGCCTGCCCTGTGCTCGTTATCTTTATGGCTTTGCGCAATTGTGGCTGGTTTTTTTCCAGCTAGACCTGGACCTGCTTGGCATCTGGTGATGGAGTTCACATTAAAGTGTTTTGTCAGCTGGAATTTACGGGACTGTTCTTGTCCTCAGCCCTCTGCTCCTCCTGGAGAGGATTTTGTCCCACCCTGAGGGGCCATTCGGATCCAAGGTGCCTTCCAGCTGGAATTTGCTCCCCTCCTGCAAGCGCAGCACCCCACGACCTGCAGCACCCCACAGGGGGCAGGGCCGTGGTGGGTTCCCCTCCCCACACACCCTCCCCCGGGGTGCGAGGGGCTTCGTCCACCCTCCGCCTGCATTTCTTCTGAGGGAAGGCAACCCCTGCACAGCTCAACAGGGCAGCCCAGCCCTCTCCCCCGGGTGTGGATTTCACAGGGAGAATTACTAGCGACTGCCTGTTGTTTTCCACCGCTCAGTGCACTAAAGGAAGTGGAGGCATTTATTGACTTTCTGAGAGAAAGTGCCACTCTCTAAGCAAAAGCAATGACATCACTTGTTTTACAGCCTGAAGGATCCTGAGGGGAATTACAGCAACCCCTGAACCGCAGTCAGCTCTGGGATGGGATGGAAGGAGCCGGCTGATGACCGTGTGGTAACATGACGTTGCAGGGCAGAACACGACGGGAAGACGCAGTCTAAAACGGCAATAAAGAATTTTTGCATCAACAGGCAAAAATGAAATCACTCGGGTTGGAATTTAGCCAGGGATTAAAGCCAGAAGGGTGAATGATCTGCGTTCGCTGTAATATAGTCAGAGAGTAAATACTTGGCTAAAACACTTCAAAGAGCCCAAAGCTGAATCCCATCAGGAAAGCTCATCACACGCCCAGGACGAGATGTTAACGATTCTTTAAACGCTGCGTTCAAAGCCTGCACTAGCAACAACCGGGCGATTTTTCAGCGAACAATTCCCATAGGCATTTGGGCTGTGACTCCCCGCACGAATCTCTCTTGCGTTTGTACAGCGAAACCTGCCGGCTCTCTGCTGCGGAATTCAAGAGACAGGTATTTTAGGCACAGATAAGCCATCAGTATGAAAACTGTCCCCTTTCTCCTTCAGCATATCGTAGGGGCTTGGCGGCAAGGCTTTCAAGCAATAACCGCTTTATTGCTTTTCACAAATGATAAGTGGCTCCATTTTTATTTATTTATTTTTTTCTTACCATTTTAACAGACTCCTGCCCCTATTTTCCAGCTGAAAGGGTGGAAGGCTTGGAGGGAATAGCATGCTTTTTTTTTAAAGCTTTTTTTTTTTTTTAAATCCCCAGAGAGATTAACAGTTGTGTTTACAAGGCAAAATGAACAGTCCTATTCAGCAGTTACGGCTCATGCTTCTAGCTATTAGGTAGCATTGATTCACTCCTGCAAGTATCAGAGAAATGGGGAATTCTGCTCATAGAGCCTTATTTGCTCTGCAAACACGGCTATCGTGCAACGCTGCATGTGGCTACGGGGCTAAACAAACAACGAATCGAGGCACCGGTTGGATACGTGCCCCTCCTCACATCGCAAGGCGTGGAGACAAAAGTCAGACCCAGCAAAGCTCCCCGGCGTGGCCCATGTGCCGAGCAGCCCTCGCCACTGGCCAGCAGCAGGTCTCTTCTGGCCAGCTGATGTGCTCCCTCCCCAGCTCCAGGAGAGAAAAGTACCGTGAGCTGCCAAGACCGCAGCGTGCAGGCGATGGGAGAGATTTTGGCCCCTCCACGGCGCACATTCCTGTGCAAACAGGAGCTCAGCACAAGCTGAATTCCTCCCCTGCTCCGAATTTCCTTGGCAGGGCCAGAGCTGGGTCCCCGGGCGGTGTACGGAGCGGGACGGGAGAGGTCTGGGGCTGTGCTGGGGAGTCAGAGGGAAATCGCAGCGTGCTGGGGATGACTCTGACATACACCAGGGGCGATGCTGCATTTTCTGCAGCAGCTGGGAATCCTACTGCGGCAAGGTCGGAGGGGCAGGGAAGGATACCAGCCCCCAACCACCAAATGAATGTCTCTGGGGCTGCTCAGCTGTTGGCATGAAACCCTCCCCGGGGTAACAAGCTCCCAGTCGCTCCCTCCCCATGACAGATGCTGCAAAACCCCGTCCGAGCGCCCGGGTCGATTAGTTCAGCTGGACAGAGGCTGCTCTGGGCTGCAGCGAGGACTGGCAGGGCCCTGAGAGCCAGGAGCACATTCTGCCGAGCAGACCCTGCCCATCGCACAGAGCCGCTTGCACAATGACTCTCCCCAAAAGGTGAGGGATGAGGGGAAGAGAGCAAGGCCAGCTCTCCTCCCTCCACATCTGCCTCCCACTCAGGGGGTCCAACATTTCCCTCCTGCACGGGGAGCAAAGCCCCTGCCTGGCAGTCAAGGTCCTGCGGGGAAGGGAGCACAATCAATTCCTATTAATCTACTGGAGCCCTGTAGCAACAGCAAGACCATCATCCCAGGGAGCGAGGCCGTGACTGAAAAGGGAACTTTGGGTCCCCAGAGAGTCGATCTATCCTCACGCTGCAATTTTCTTTCCTCTGTACTACTGGCTTCCGTGCTTACAACATATGCAGCACACCAGGCATGTGAGCATGGCAGCCAGGAGGTCACTGTCCTCCCTGCTCACGTCTGCAGTCCAGAGGAGGCCTGGGAGGAAAAATGATCCCGTAGCAAACGTGCAAGTCTGGCTTCCACTCCGGCTCTGACCCTCTTGGCGTACCTTGGTTTCCTCAGCTATATATCAAGACTGTTTGTTTGCATTTTCCCCGGTTGTGAGACCCTCGAAGGCAGACGCCTGGTTTGTGGGGTGTACAGCGCCCGGCGCAGCAGGGTTCTGTCCCTCATTTCAACACTGCAGTTATGGCCGTGGCAAACTGCTGGTAAGAAACGACGATGCAGGCAAAGCACGAGCCACGTGGAGCACATACAGATCTCTGAGACTCCAACGGACATGAAGACAGCCTGGGAAGGGTGAATGCTACGGAAAACTTCCTGCAAGCCCAGCCTCTGGAGACCTCACAACCTGCACTTGATGCACAGGTGAGAGTGGGAAGGAAAGGCATTTTGCTGGATGTGCATTTCCACTCTCGGTCGTCCCAGTCCTGACAATGAGCCCAGTAACAAGAGCACACAAAGGAGGTTTGTTCTGCCTTTGTATGTTTTGCCTTTCTCTGTGTCCACAGCCCTGTGCGGTGCAGTCAGCAGTTCTCACTTGGCTCTTCCCTTCCTGGCTCTTGGTGAGATCAGGGCAGCTCTGAGGAAAGCATTAAAATGATGGTCATTATTCCAGCAGCCTCAAAACACTAGGCACTTATTCCTCAGCCGATCCTAACCTGAGAAAAGTGTCCTGTGTTCAGCTGGAACAACAATAGACCCCTAATAGCCAGTTTGTCCACCACAGACATCCCAGTCATGGGTGGGAGCTCAGTGCCCACATTGTCTGCTGTGCAGAACGGCACCTGAAGGTGACGGTGTCAGTGTTTCTATGGTACGTTCAGCATCTTCAGGGGATGAGCGGTCGGGACTCGCAGCTGCTGTAGATCAGCAGATCCCCTGCTCCCACCCATCCATCACCGCTCTCTGCACCAGAGGGGCAGGCGGTGGGGCATGAGTCTCAGCAAAAGCACACACGGCTTTTCCCCCAGGAGCCCAACACAACCGCGTTTGGCTCGGAGACAGCCACTCCCTCGGCTACCCAATTTTGCTACGGCAGCTACCTAAAGTTATCGAGACTGAATTTCAGGTCTCTCGGGAGTTGAGGGCGCGTGTCCCACCGGCAGCGTTCACCGTGACGGCAGCGTTGTCGCAGAATTGCAGAATCACCTAGGTTGGAAAGGACCTCGGAGATCATCTAGTCCAACCGTTCACCCAGCACTGACAGTTCCCACCTACAGCAGATCCTTAAGCTCTAAATCGACCCTACTCTTAAACCCATCCAGGGATGGGGACTCCACCACCTCCCTGGGCAGCCCATTCCAACGCCCAACAACTCATTCTGTAAAGAAATACTGCCTGACATCTACTCTAAACTTTCCCTGGCGCAACTAGAGGCCATTCTCTCTCGTCCTGTCGTTCTACTAGGCTAAAGAGGCTCAACCCCGGCTCTCTGCAGCTTCCTTTCAGGGAGCTGTAGAGGTCTCGCTCATCCAGCGCTGCCAGATCACAGCCCAGAGACCTAACATGACTCCTGGGAGCAGAGCTGTGCTGGGATTGTCGGGGCTGCAGCCCTTGACAGCTCAGGTGTGCTCCTGGAGGGGCTGCTCCTCGGCTGCATGATATTTAGCCGTTCTCCTCCCTTTTCTGTGACTCACTTCCTCCGTTCCCCCTTTTATTACACAGCAGGCACAAGCAGCATGTGATACCAAGCTCCTAGAGCAGTGAGTAGCTACCGCAATATCAACACACGCAATTACCAAAGAGGAACATTACCAGCAAAAGCCAGCCCGGTCCTTGCCTTTTATGACACTCAAACGATTACTGACTGACAATTAACTAACACAATCCAAGCTGCATCCGAGGCAGGCTGGCTCTTTCTTCCTGCCACACGGCAGGGACCTCGCGGGGAAGCCCGTCTGCTCTTCACCCCCGTGTCCTGTGCTGCCCTCTCCCAGCATCACCTCCCCGTTACCTGGCTGGCACGTCACGCCCCCGAAGTGACAGAGGCTCAAGCACACCCAAGAAAGCGCTCACAGGTCCCGCTGAATGAAAGACACACCAGAAAGACAAACCCGGCACTGTCATCCCCGCAGCTGGCAGCCGGCGTTCCCAGGTGGCTGGGAGAGACAGCGAAGAGGGTGCCAGCTTCCAGCTGCCAAAGAAAGTCATTCCCAGCAACACAAAGCCACTTATTTTCTCTCGCAGGGGTGTTTAACCTGTGGCTGAGGCTGTCAGCACCTGCCCTCCCTTTACTGCTAGATGGAAGGAGGATCCACGTTACGGGAGAAGATCCCTGGTGCAGGAGAGACCAAACCCCCCCGAGCCTCTCCCCCAGCCATGTCCCCAGCACACCCCGTGGAGCTGTGCGAGGCTGTCATCCACACGCCCACACGGCATGGGGTATGTAGAGTCTGCTGCCTTCTTAATTGCTATTTTCTTTCCTCCTTTTCCTTTTTTTTTTTTTTTTGTTTAATTAGAGCTTTCGTTCTTTCTCCAGCCCACACAATGCTCCCAGAGCTGCAAGCTCGCCTGTGATTGCCATGCAGACAAGAGCTGACAGAAAGCCAGGATTCACGTTCCTTGCAGTGGTCAGGAGGAGCCAGGAGAGGTTGAGAGGTTGTCTCCCTTTCTCTTTTAACAGAAAATGCTGGAATTTTCCTCCCATGACCCATAATTTCATCTTCCACCCAAGGCCCCTCTTTCTGACACGTGAGAAGAAGGCTGCAGGGAAGGTATTAGTGTGAAATGAGGACTGCGAGTCACTCATTTCTTCAGCTGTGATGTGCAAGGCAGACCCAGGAGTCAGCCTTGACCTGCTGCCCAGGGCTGTGATCACAGCTGGGCGGGCATCACGCTGCCTCAGCTCCGCAGGGACAGCTGAGCAGAGGGATCACACGGTCCCACGGCCCGGGTCCCCTTTCTGAGAGCATTCCCAGGGAGGGTATTTAAAGAAACAGGAATTACACACCGTACACCTGATAGTCGTGTGGAATTTGTGAAATGCAGCCACCTCTGGTTGCAATGAAAATGAGGGAGACGGCAACCAGCACGCAACGAAGGGGCGAAGAGAAGAATTAAAAGCCAGATCCTCATGCAAGGTCTTACCAGAGGGACTCAGGTATCAAAGGATCTCGACAGGACCGAATCTCCCAGAAAAATAGAAAACGGTTTTAATATAAACAGAAGCACAACATTTATAAGAAGCAGCACCACCACAAGCACTCAAAGCAAATTAAGAGCTCGGCTCTTTGCCGAGGAGGACTAGAAATGCACAGAGTCCAGCTTGCCTTGCTCTACCCTGCTAAACCCACACTTACGAAAGGGCTGAGGCCTCTCCCAGTTGTGCTCTACAATCCGCAGATACCTGGATCTTTATGCCACGGGGCCCTGGCACTGGGAGGAGGAGCTGGAGAGACTGCACAGACAGCTTCATGCGGGATTAACGCTCCTTCCTCCCCCTGCAAGCTCCCAGCTCAGATCCAGCAGCTCCTCGGAGCTGACACTGCAAGTAAACCAAGCCCCCCACCGCCCTTGGACAGATCTTTCTTGCAGCAACAGGAAAAGCCATGAATGAAAGGGGACGGTGTTCCTGACCTACTTCTCCCCACTCCAGCAGAGTTCACAGTACCAGCTACGGGCTGGGTTTCTCCCCAGGACTGTGCTCCGGAGCAGCGGTACCACTGTTTGGCATTAGGCACATAAAACTCTTCGCAGCAGGGTTTTAAATCTGTTTTATTTAAAGCTCTGGTATAGTCACATGGTGGTAAGGTAGCGAGCAAACACTGCAAGTCTACTTCCCTGCCAGGGATTGCACTAATCTGGTATTTAATCTTAAACCAGTTGTGCACCCATCCTTGGAGGGCTTTGCGCACGTGTGTGTACGTATTTCTCCCTCAGATGTGAGGGGATTGCAGCCACACAGGTAGGGAGCATGACGAGCCAACGCTTGAGGAATCAGAGGATTTCAAAGCACAGCACAAACTGTAATTACTTTTGGCATCCCCGGGAAGGGTAACGCCGCAATAGCTTTTAGCCAGACTCTTCCTTATCGCGATTACCCGTGCTCAGAGCCCCAGCCAGGGCTGCGATGTGCAGGTGGGCATCCGTG